AATAGCAATATTTATCAAATAGTAACACACCCCGATTTTTTACGATTTTAAAATATAAATTTTTCGATATAAAATCACTCGATGTTTATAAAAATTAAAAAATGTTTCTTTGTTTTTTTAAATAATAAAAAATTCAACTGATTTTTCAACTTTAAAATAATGAAAAAATGAATGTCAATGAAATGAGAACTAAATGGGGTTGTATTTGTTTTTTACTATAAAAAAAAAATTTTAAACGAACCTTTCCCTTTTTTATTATATTATATTAATATATAACCATATAGATACTATAAATCCAACAGACGTATCTTTGTTGTTTTTGTTCCAAAAGTGCATCACAATGAAGTATAAACTACAATTTTTATAATAATATTACCATTAATATATTAAACCAACTATCGCAGTACAAAAATGTGTTAGTAGATAACAACTGTTAAAATTATTGTTGTGAAAAGTATTGGAATGAATTAAAAAATCGACCAATAGACAAATAATGACTAATTTTAAGTATTAGAATACGACAATAATATAAAAAGTGACAATTAAAAGTTAGAAAAGAATCCGTTCAAATTGGTGATAAAAACAGATGCTAATATTATCTTTGATTATTAAAGATTGTAAAACTAGTAATTTATCATCCTCGACAAAGTCTAAAATGGTGATGTTGTTTGTTGTTCTTCTATTTGTTCATAAAGGTTGGACACAATTGACTTGTACTCCAGGTAATCACCTTGTGAATGGAATATGCAAACAGTGTCCCAAAGCAACTTATTCCCCCAATGGAACAGAATGTATACCATGCGCGCCCGGTTCTGTGACAGCACAACCAGAAACTGTGTCTTGTAAGGTTTGTGGAAAGGGCACTGCGTCAGATGCAGCACAAGAACAATGTGTAGGGTGTGTAGCTGGGACTTATAGTGATAAAGATGGGGCTACTCAATGTGAAACGTGTCCTCCACGGACATACTCTGAATATGGTGCAAAAGAATGTATAGAGTGTGTTGGGTGTGTTTCATGTATAGCAAATAATTCTGGCAAGTGTGCAAAATGCAATCCCGGATATGTATTTATTGGGGACAGATGCGGGATTTGTCCTGCAGGAAAATATTATGGTGACTATTCGACATCATGGACTGTGTGCTCTACATGTATGAGTTATACATTTTCCACTGGAGGTGCTTCTGCTTGTACTCCATGTGATAAAAATTGTAAA